GAAAGACTGGAGCATCTTCTGGGCTGGCTGAAGAAGGGTGGCCTTTTACGGGATCTTTGGTCTCTTTCAATGGGGCTTCTGTTATATAGGGGGATGTATATACGGACCCTTGTTATGGTATATAAGGATAATAGGAGGCGATATCGGGAAGAAATAAAAAAAGCCATCAGCCCGTTGAGCTGAAGCCTCTCAGATGCTGGATGAAGGGCCACGTGCAAGGCCAAGATTGCGTGGAAGAAGTTGAAGCTTTCCTGAGCAGACCACAGGACCATGTTTCGGGGTACTTCAGGGCCTACGTAAATGATTGCAGGTCTTCTGGCCCCAAGTATCCTGGCCCTAGATTACTTGTATGGTTTTGGTATGAACGGTAATCATTTAGGCTCCTACATTCCTACATATGAGCACAATCTAGACCAAGTTTCCATGTCATCTTCCATTCTCTTCTCCATTTCACTCTCCATGTAAGCCTAAACATATAAACCCCTTTAAGGGGACCATATTGTTGGTGATCATGTAGCCAAGGGACTGCAATCAGGGATGCGGGAATTCATGATGAGGGTTTTGTCAGTTAGGGTTCGAGGTCTCGGGGTATCAAGGTAGGTCGGCACCTCAGTTTTGGGTTACAAACAGGTTTTGTGTAGTTTGCGTTTGTCGGATGGACGTATTCCAGTACGAAAGGCTTCTAGAACCGATACTCTGCTTCTTGCGGGCAAGAGATGCCGCTGTGAGCGGATTCCTCATTCTTAGTTGAAAAATTGGAAACCACTCAGAGCAAGAGCATGTGTCCGCTTAAACTTAAAGTACCTCGGCCACCTAAGACTTAGCTTTACTGTAAAATTTGAGGTGGCTAGAAGAGCTTGCCCAGTTTTGGTCGGGAAGAGCAACAATTTTTATTGCGCTGAAACTTGTATCAAGCACAGACCGGGAACTGTGCACGCTGCTTTGCCTTGCCAACGACAATTTGCGGAAACTGTGTAACAGGCGAACATGTCTACCTCACCATTTGAAACAACGCCAGGACCCCAACGCCTCGGATGCAGCTGGTGACACAGCTCTCCACGCTGCAGCTTTGTTCGGGGCTGGAAGGCGCAGATGTCTTCCCTGCACCAGGAATGCATTGACTTCTGTCTGTATTCGTTGTAGGATGCATAGATCAGAGTGGCCATTTGCATGTGCGGCTGGAGCTACCCTATACTTTTTAGACTGGTCCAATAGATCTGGTTGTATCTATCTGCTCAAGGTTTGACATTGGCTTGCAGCACGGGCATCGCGGCTATGTTTCAAGACAAGTTTGGATCCTTCTCTCATGTTCCCACCGTTGGCATTGATCCTGTACACATGAAGGGGCCCATGTTGCACACACTGACTTGGGGCTATGGGTTTCTAAGTCAAGGCCCAGACCTGGGCTCCCAAAAATGCCGTTTCTAGTAGTCAAATACCCCTCCAAGGCAGCGGCTTTAGAGATGTTGATTAGAGGATTCTGGTCTTCTTCTTCACATCTGAGGCCCCACTCTATGGACGTACGAGCATTTCAGAGGGGCATTTCTGCAAATCCGAAGATGGCCTTGGGTAGCCAGTGATCCAATCACATAGATAGCTGATAGAAGGCATTATGCCGCTTGATTGAGGAACCCCTGATATTCCTCATACTTTGGCATCGTACATGCTCGCTGCTCGCCCAAAAGACCATTTTTTTAACAACCACCCGTTTGTTGGGGGGTGAGAGACAAGGCAGAGCTTGAGGCAGCCCCCATACAGGGCTTAGAAATAATGCGAATTCATAATCCAAATTCTACGACAACTGATCTTGAGGGTGAGAAACAGACAGGGTACACACGAATTGGACACCATGATTTCATTTATTCTGCGAAGCTTGCAGTAGCCAGGAGCGCAGCTTTGCTGCTTGAGGCTGGCGCTGAGAAGGACGTGAAGGGACGGAAGTTCAACCGTATAGAAATCCGATCAAGCAAAGCAGGGTTTCATTGGCGTGGCTCGGAGGGTTTTCGGCTTCAAGTTGTTTTCTAATCTAAAGTTGTTTCATACCGCTACATTCGCAGTTGTTGTTTCTTAAACAGAAGCTTGTGGGATTTCTTACGAGACCACACATTTTGATAGTTTCATGGAAGACCTTGCACTGAAAAAAAGCCCAGAGTTTAGAAGCTTAGGGATGGCAAGCTGCAAGCTTAGGCCAGGGTGCTTTACGTTAGGTGATGTCGTTCGCTTGAAGTTTTTAGCCAAGCAGTGCCCACATGGCATGGTGTATCGCAAGTTGTGGAGCTTGCCCGGAACCGCGCCCATACGCCTACACTGCACTACACCTGTGAATGGAAGTTGCATGTGCCGCAAAACTTTGGACCACAAAATCTTTTTTCCGCAAAGACCAACGCTTCAACTAAAGATGTACCTGCAGGACCGTTTGAATTGCCATCGCGAGACGCCCCTGCTCCTGGCATCCCAAACTGGCCAGCTGCAAGTTGTTTGCCTGCTCTTGAAGGCGTTTCTGGGGTCTGACAAAATCATTCAAACTCCTACTTGGAGTCTCAGGGTTACTATAACCCAAAATACTTGACGTATAACCCAAGTATAACCATATAAAGGTATGCTCATCTGAAGCCACTCAGCCAGACTCGTTCTCTATGCGCGTCTGGCTGCCTAAGGAACATGTTCCTCACATCTATTTGTCTACATTGTCCGACACCTCAGGGGTCTCTTTGGATGAGCATTTAATGCTGCAATGTCCATGCACGCTATCACAGAAACAATTCTAGTTGCTGCCTGTTCCGGACTAGCAAGACCATCAGGGTAACTGTTACGGGCTTTTGCGCTTTTATTAATTGCCGCAACCATCACTAGGGCCTCCTGACATGATCATAGCTTTTTGTCTGTCAAGACCTGGAACTCTAAATCATAATATCCCAATACAGTTCCTGTAGGATCTCCTCGTGTGCAGACCTTTTTTTTTGGAAAATGCCACATCTAAAAGCCGCCTGATGAGTATTTAAGATGGATATAGATTCTAGTCTCAAATACAGAGCAAGATTATATCTTCCTTTTTGCGAAGAAGAATTTGATCTTACATGGTTCAACCAGCAAAAATACCCATCTTGAAAAAGGCAGGAGCTGCAGCAAATTTGTCGCGTGTGGATGGGGCAGTGCCTCTGCTGCTTGCTGCGCAGCAAGGCCACACTGAGGCGCCGTTTGCCCAGGGTTCTTCCTTCTTCAGCTGCTCATAAGGAGTGTACAGTAAGCCTTTGTAATAGTAACCCTTTGGAGTTTGGGTTCAACCTTGGCAGCTTCGCAGGCTTAAGGTTGGCACAGGCTGTTGCGATGAATTTTTTCGCGGATCTTGATGCTTGCTATTCTTGACACGCATAGTATTTCTCCTGTCCTCGTGCGTCCAGGTATCATTCTCGGTGATGTTGATATTTACTGCTTCCATTGATGTACCATTGCTCCATTGCAAATGTTTTTGCTTTGGACTTGGGCGGCGTGGTGTTTGGGTGTAGGGCATAGTCCAGGGTGTTCAAGCCTCATCGTCAAGTTCAATTATTTTGTGTGCAACAGGCTACCCACAGGCAGCACGTGTTCCGTGTAGTAGTTGTTGTAGCTTAAGCGGTTTTAGGGGGATTGCGATTTGACTGTGATGTTGCAAGTTCCAGTTTGCGCAGTTGTTGGGTGCAGGATGCGTGTTTGCAACATTCACAGCAAGTTTCGTGGCAGCAGCCTGTGGCCTGAGAGGCAGACGCTGCACAAGTTGCGCCAAATCCTCCTAGACTGGGTCTCAGACATCAGCGGCTGAAAACACATAAATCTCTCCAAGCCTACTTCTTCAACATGGAGAGTTCCAAAAAGCATTTACATGTTGCAGGTCGTTCGTGTGCTGCTGGAGTCTGGGGCCGATTACCGCAAGCCAAACCAACGCGGAGAAACGGCCACTTCGCTCTAATCCTAGCCGGGGCAAGGTGCGTTTTCTTGAGCTGACAGGGGCGTGAAGAACCAAGCTTCTCAGAGGCTGAGGCATGATGCAAGTGGTGATTCTCGTTCGGTCAAGGCACAGAACTGCACATGGTGTTTTTACGCTGCTGATGTTTTGTGAGGTGTTGTTAATGAAGCTAACAGGCAGTGCGCCTGAGCTCTTTGCAACCAGGCTTTTTGCCTCATGGCTACAAGCGGTTTGGAGATCCCAGTAGAACCGCTTGGTCCTTTGTAGCTTCCAACAAATGGCTCCAACAAGGCATGTTACAAGGATGGACATGCCTGAATCGACATGCAAAAGGTGTGGATTTGTTTTGGGATGCTCTAATGGGTAATGGAAAGATGGGAATTACCATATCTATCACGTCACGTGAGTGAGTGAGTGATTGGGGAGATCCAGCGAGAGTTCCAC